TTAAAATAGGATTTCGAGAAATATTGAAAGTTAAAAAATTATATTGTTTGATTATCAATTAACTAAAAACATGAAAACAGAAGGCTGGAAAGACATGGGGAATGTAATTAAATGAGACAATTAAGAGACTGATTGATTTTATTTATTCAAAATCCACAAATTGCAAATTACAAAAAAAAGAAATGTTAATGTAGATCTGTGAAAACCAGATAAGACATAAAAGTCTTGTAAAGGCTAACTTGAAAAACAAAAAATCAATATTTGTTTTAATGTCTGACTTTTACCAAGTACCAATTAGAACAAATTTTTAGTTTTATCTTTTATGGCTTACAACAAAAATAGAAAAAGCTTTATCTAATTAAAATCATCAATACTGCATTTTTTCACTAATTTATATTTTACAACCTAATTTTAATTCAATTTGTTAAGTGCAAATATTTTGAGAGCATTCCAGCTAATCTGACAAAAAGAAAATGCTCTCAATAGGTACTAGAATCTCAAGTATCAATATTTTTGGGACAATTCTAGCAAAGCAAGGTAAAAATATTATTTAATTTTTGTCAGTGATACAATACTGCAATGCTTTTCATCCACTTGTGATGACTAAGCTCAAAGAGAGCTATCAACGATCTCATTTTTATTTTATCTTGTTAATTGTAATTATATATTTTTTATAACCATAACAGATGGTATCTACGTTTGTAAATGAATCAGTAACAGCAAAGTAAACATGAAGTCATAAACTTAAAAAAATTATAATTTAGCAATTAATCATAAAATTTAGAAAAATTTAAATTGGTTAAAAAAGTTAAACAAAATTAATATTAAAATTAATTATTAAACTAACTTAACTTTCATGTATATGCATAGCCATAGATTAATGAAATGAACAGTCAAGAAATGACGATCAAGTTTGTGTTTTTAAAACGTTCGGCAAACTTTTAAATTTGGTTTCTTAAACTCTATCACTTTCTTTTACGCATTTTTGCGTCTTTACATTCGATAGAATAATTTTAGTTAGCATCAGCTGCCATTTTGACGAACGAACATTCTAGAATGAGACCACAAAACAGTGATGTGCTCGTCAGTCTCATTTTTTAATTCATACGCTAGACGTTTAGATTGTAGAGATGGCTTGTTAAGAATGTCGCTGGGTTGCTCCGGTACGACTTGTTAAGTTTTCATTTATAGCTTGACACTAATTGTATAACGTTGAACAGAGACCTCGCCTTACGCATCTATACTTGCATATTTCAAATAAATTGCATGGTAAAAAACAACCTTTAAGTCATGTAGTTTTCATGCCAAAATTATAAATCTATTTCGTTATAACAATTGTCATCGTCGCCATTTGAACACGGACAAACACAAACATGAAGACACAAAGTAAATGCTACGTGAACGTTCGGAATGGTTTCTGAAGATAGCTAACATTTTCGTTAACGACGTACAATTAAATCGTGAAACATTGTTGACCATGTTAAAAATTTTAGTGCGAATTTTAAACTTGAGCACTCTCAATCATATACAATCCTTCCGTTGAAATTTTTAAATTAAATTAATAGGTTTTTCAAAGGTTAAACGGGTGCACAACCGGAAACATAAACATTTTTTAGAATTTGTTTAGTTAGAAGTTCTTGGATTAAATAATATACAAGTGAAATGAATGATATAACGATTGTGAATGAGGAAATGATTGAATTGCTGGATTGACAAGT